TTTTTTATTTAAAATTATAAAATTTATAAAAACTAAAATCAAAGACTATATTAATACCAAACGGTGCCCAAGTTAAGGTGGTTTTCTTTTGTCCAACTTTAAAGCTGGTTAATAAGCCAATTCAATGAAATTATGGGGTCTCAATCCTAAATTTTAAATAAATATGTACCTCGGCATTAGAACCTTCACTTCCTTCACCCAACTCCATGTTTGTTCTCCTTCAACCTTTAACATCTGTAAAATGGCAAAGGAACAAGGTGACGTGTTTTGAACTAATAGTAGAACTTAAATGTGAAATCGTTTCCAATAAGAAAAAATAGTAGTCTTCTTTGATTTCCTATTGCATGGTGAAAACAATACATTTGCTTGAGGCTAACAACCAACATGACTATGATACAATAATAGGCGGAGTGCTCACACTCGTGAACCCTCTGAAGCAATCGGAGGCTTAAGAACAACAATATAAAAGGACTAATGACACTTCTTCCAATTTTAGTTATCAAGTTTAATTTGCATGCCAATCCTACATTAAGAGATTTCAAACAAAATTACAAATTGAAAATTAGAGTACATATTTTTTTGGGGCATGGAATAATTAGATCAGACAGTATTCACAGTGTCAGCAAGGCAACGGAGTATACATCCCAAACCAGCTCTCTCCGTCAGCTTCTCATGAATCCTAAGGCACTGCTCACAAGTAGGGCGATCTCCAGTTGACAAGCCTCTGTACAGGTACCTACAAAGCAACAGCATTTTCCATGTAATATTGAAAATAAATTTACCAGCAATCATCAAAGTTCTTAAAAAGGTTCACTAACTTACTGCTACATGTGAAATGACAATTTTATGAGAAAATAATAGCACTTATGTCCCCTAAAAAACTAGAATGCAAGAAAGATGGAGCCATCACTTATGACCCCCTAAAAAAACCAACTGTTTCACCAAGACTTTTCTAACAATTTTATGAGTGAATGTCCAACAGCAGGGATGCTTTGTGAACTAGATGGAGACACTTCATTACTTTTTTCATTCAGTTTACAGACAGTATATGAAGGGCAACTGGGTGAACTATCTATATGAAGGACATGAGTCTATGGAGTGTTTCTGTGCCAACAAATTGCTTCTGGTATTGGAAGAAGTTGCTAAAGTTGAGGGAAGTAATCTTACCCTATATTGTTACGCAACTTGGGCATGGCAGGCAAGTATCATTGTTATATTACAGGTGGATGGGTAATGAAACCATGTATGAGATTCTTGGTAGTGGAGTGGATGTGAGTGGTTGGGGTAGGAAACTACAGGTTTGTGATTGGTGGCAGGACAGGCATTGGTGTATATCTACCAGTTTCTGCAGGAGGTTTGCATGGGTTGCAGAGAGGATCGGAACCTACTCATTGGTGCAGAGTGAAGATAGTGCTGTTTGAACATTAAGCAAGGGTGAGTATTCTCTATCCATAGCTTGTATGAAATTTTAAGAACAAAGAAGCAACAGGTTCCATGGTATAGGAGTGTAGGGGGTAGGGATTTAATCCCCTGACACAGCTTCATTCTTTTGCTTGCAGTCCTTAATAGACATAAAACCAAAGATAATTTGATGAAACGAGGTATGAATGTTAATCCCACCTGTGTATTGTGTTTGTTGTTTCTATGCTCCTATAGTAAAGAGGTTTGGTGGATGATACTGCAACATTTGAATATTAGAAGATGTCCAGCCTAATGGCCTTTGATAATGGAGATGGTATTTGCAAACATGCAAAGGTAGGAATGTCCGAGGCAAAATGGTAAGAATTGCCTTTGCTGCAACAATCTATTTTATATGGATGGAATGGAACTGTAGAGTGGCTAATGGAGAAAGTTGTTCTGAGCATACTGTTATTGGTAGAATTTTACAGCATATGAGTTCTAGTCTGTTAGGCTGTTGATAGTGGTATAGTGGTATGATACTGTCAACTTTACTGGTTTTTGAATATGCATATAAGTTTATAGACACTAGATTAGAAGTTCATAAGTATTTCAGACATTCTGTGTTAATATTGCATATTGAAAGCAGATTGATCAGCTACTCACAATCTTTATCTCACAAAGCATGAAAAAAAAAAAAAAGAAACAAAAAAAGGACTTCAATGCAACAAACACCATGCATCAAAAGCTTATAGAACCATCCACACCATAGAAAGTAAAAAAAATCCAGCAAAGATTATCACTTAGTCTTTCAAAGTTACCAATATACAAGACAAATAAGAAAAAAAAACCAAGACCACCACAAATTTTGATTAACAGCCACCAAGTTTCCAAAAGACTGATACTGTTTCTGAATTTTTAGTTTGAATTATATCTTGTGACATTGAGAGATTTAAATTTGTATTCATGCCTCCACAATAGTCCACCTAATGAAGGCAAGATTTGACAGATGAAAGTTGGTACAACCACCAAAAACTATGGATAATCCAACAACCAGGTTGCATTGTGGGAAAGACAGACAATGCTAAACTACTTAAATCTCTAAGGCAAGCATGTCTTTAAGCTAACTAATCTCCATCAAAACAAAGGGTATAATTAGAAACATGATAGAAGAAACTTTGATATATTTTATCAGAAAACATTAATGGCTAAGTGCATAATTTTAGCGTTATCCTAGATCATCAAAGTATTCTATTTCCAATGATATCAACTACAAGAGTGCTTGAAATTCATAACATTGAGAGAGATCAAGGGGATTCAACAAGCAGCAACCAAGGCAAATGGCACATTTTCAAATATCTCCAAAGCAATAAAAAAGAGCAATTGGAGGTCCTGCTCTGGGTAAAAAACTGAGAATCAGATTAAATGTAAGAAAATAAGCTTTAGCAAGAACAAGTGTTGTACAAATGATCATAGATCTCTAACTATCAAAGCTAAATAAATGTTAAGCATTTAAGTAAACAAACCATCATTTAACCAAAAAAAAAAAAGAGAAAGAAAATCAAAACTGGAATTACTAATACAAATTTTCCACAAGATCCAAACTCAAGAAGTAAAGCAACTTGTTTGTTCAATTTCCACAGAAGAGAATCCTTTGACATGAATAAACCAAAGCAAGATGATTACCAAATCAATTAAGATAGGGCATTAAATCACAACAAGAAACTTCTACCTAACAAAGTGTATGAAATCAGTTCAAATGCTATTCATGAGAATTACAGATACAATTCACACAGAATTGAGGAACAAGAAAAGGAAACGGAAAATTGAAATCGCATTTCAACTTGATAACGAGAAGACTTACTTCATAAGAATGTCGTAGTACTCAGGATCCAGAGAAGCGAACATCCCTTCTACATCTTTTATAGCCATCAAGGCTCTATGCACCACTATCCAATTCGCCGACTGCCAAAAGAGATCCAAAAGAAAACTCGTTACTAATAACATCGAAAAGAATAGGTAGAGATTTCTCCTCCGTTTCAAACCTTGCATCGCTCGTCTCTGGTCATGGGAGGAGAACCTTCCAGGGCCGTCTTAAGGGCTTCAACCGGCTTATACCTGGTGAAGAACAAAAAGAGGATACAAATTTAGTATCTAATTAGGGTTTTCGCAGAGAGTGGAAGATGCGATTATGGAATGCAAAAGTAAGAACAATACTGTTTCAGTAGGCTTTCGATCTTTCGCGATTTGTGTTCGATTCTAGTGATTATGGCCTCTGCATTATCAGCTTCGACGAATCCTTCTACTCTCGCCATTGAAAAGGATCCGAAGAGCTCAGTTTTCTATGCTGAGAAGAGAACTACGAAGCCTCGAGCACAAGCGGAAGAAAATTTTCCCGGAAAATGCAGTGTCGTTTCTTTTCCATTCGGAAAGATAAATGGACCGAGCCTGTCAGCTGGACCAGGTCACAACCTGTTAAATTCGGAAATATTCGAAAATTATTGAAAACATCCGGGCAATAATGAATAAATTTAAAAAAAAAAAAAACGAAAAACCGTTGACCTTCTAATTTTTGGTTCAAAACCATACGAAGTGAATGCTTAAATTAATTTTTCAAAAATATAACTAATAGTTAATAATTAATAGTTAATTATTAAAAATATTTAATCTATTTGATTAGAACTAATAATTAATAATAATAATAATAATAATTTTTTTTTGAACAGATTTTACAAGGGGCTGGGTTCGAACCCCAGCCCTAGAGGAGGGAAGAATACACCATGAGTGGCTATTGCCACTTAACCCGAAGGGCTCGGTGCAATAATTAATAATTATTAACCAAACTCCAAATCAAACATTCCATGAAGCATAGGTTTTTATTCTGATGTTATATGCAATTTAAATTATGTTTGAAGCTGCATCCAGAATAATGACTGTGTTATATACACCATCAGGTAAATGCAACATTTGGTGTCCCACCAACCAAATAGATATCTTCTTCCAGTTAAAACTCGTGGCTGGTGGTGCATCTTCTTCCGGCCCTCAATGATAAACTATTGTCTCATCTGAGCTTGGATTGGCATGATATTGCCCATATAATGCATAGATACCAACTGCAACAACGTTGAGGATAACAAATCTTATCCATGCTTCATAATGCAACTGCACAAGAAACGAAGCAGATTAATCTCGATCTCCTTTTGCTGCGTAAGGAATTAAGGACGGAGTTTTCATGTGAGGGTACTTGGCCAAAATACCTGAGCAAAAAGGAATATGTTGAAGAAGATACAGACTGCGGGCACAATAGGAACCCCAGGACAAGAGAAACCTGGAGGATCTGCGTAAGCCTGAGAACAAGACAAGAAGAGGTTAGAGAAACTTATACTCATGGGATGTTCACAAATTCAGTCGACCATGGTTCAAGAAGCTCAAGACAAAGTCAGCATTGTTCTCTAATGAGGGCGGCAAGACAGGCAAGACTACGCTGCCTGTGATGATCATGCAGAATGCAACAATAAAGAACAAAGTTTTGTTACTGACAGATATTAAAGACTCACATGGCGCAAACACAGAGCAGCACAAGCAAATATTGCTATGACTGCCACAAGGATCAGAAAAATAAATGAAGCACTGTAGCGGTAAAGGACTCCAGCAGCGAAACTGCAGCCAGCTACTATGATAAGATATATCACACTTTCACACCAGGCTGAGATCCATCTTGACGAAACTTGACTTCTTTTATCCTTCCGGCGAAGAGTAACAACACATGCTGCCACAACTGAATAGCCTGTCTGAAAGAAAGCAAAGTAGGCCAAACCCCCAAATAAGAAGGTAGGGTTAGATATGCCCTTTTTTTAAAGACAAATTATCCTTCTAAATTATCGATAAAAACAAATAACTTATTATTTAATATGTGACATTATCAAACATCACCTTTCCATTAAGAAAAGACTTAGGCGGCAAACTGATTCCTAACATGTGATGATGTCACATGTTAAATAATTAGTAATTTGTCTTAATTGATAATTTAGATGGTCAATTTATCCTTGCATTTTTTTTGGAGGTGGATCTATCCCTACCCTCTATTTCTGCTGTGGATTTGAGAGTTTGGCCAGCAAAGTATACCCACATGAGGTGCATGTTTCATAAAAATTGAGAAGTTCGATCTTTGAACAGTGAAATATCTTCTGGAGTTAATTTCATTTAACCTCACAATTTCCCATTAATATGTCATTCCATGGGTTGTTTTGTATTATTTGTTATACAGAATGCTCTAGAATAAATAATTTTAGCTATGATACAAAAGATAAACTTAGGGGATTGACATACCAATGAGCCAACAGAAAGAATGTGTGACAGAGTGTGCACGTTAAACAGCCCTCCCAAAATACCAGCAACAAAACCAACCCAGACTTGAGAATGAACAGGGGTGTGGCGTTTTGGGTGCACTTTAGCAAATATTGATGGCAGTAGACCATCTCTTCCGAGCCCAAGATACAAACGAGACTGCTTATGAAAAACATTCAATCATACAAATGCACATGGCAAGTTCACAACGAGGTCACGTCATTAATGGAGAAAAGTCCAAATTGACTCACCTGAACGTAAAGACCAACTAGAAGGGTTGTTGTAAGTCCTGCAACAGCTCCTACGCTAATTAAAATCGAAACATATTTCATACCCTTAGATTTAAATGCTTCAGCCAAGGGAGCATCTTCCCCAAGTAATTTGTAAGGTACCATCCCGGTAATCACCAAGCAAACTCCAACGTACAATCCAGCACATATAAGCAGGCTTCCCAAGATTCCTATTGGCAAATCACTCTGAAATGATCAAAATCAAAACAGAAAAAAAGAAAGAATCATTAACTCCCATCACAGAAAAACAGTCTAGATCATAAAATAAACCTTCAATAAGACAAAATAGTATCCAATTGATCTGAACTGAAATAAAATACCTGAGGCTTCTTCGATTCTTCAGCTGAATTGGCAACAGCATCAAATCCAACATATGCAAAGAACACCACAGTGGCGCCAGTTAGTATTGCTTTAAACCCATTCGGAGCAAAGGGAGTCCAATTATCAACATCGACTTTGAAAGCACCAGCAAAAATGACAACAAGAACAATGATAATCTGCACTAGAGTTTGCATGTTAGAGGTTGATCCTTAGAATCATGAACATAACAATGTTCATTTCTCAGTGAATCTGCAATTTTAGCCATGGGTGGCGGCAAAAAAGGGTCACCTTTGCTGCAGTCATTAAGGAATTCAAAACTGAAGATTCTCCGACGCCCCAACACAGGATGATCGTCAAAAGTGCAAGCAGGACTGGAGCCAGAATGTTGATGGATATCGCTCCGCCCAACAACTCTTGGCCGCCATGTCCAATCCAGTCGGGCACGTGTCCTTTGA